CCAGACACGCTAAATTGGTGCTGCTGCATCGATACAGTGGCACAGATTTAGTGCGGTAGCAAAGAGGAGCCCTAGCAGTTCCCTTGTGTGCTTTGATCTATCCCCATTTCCAAGCATTAGGGAAATGTTAGTGCGCAGCAGCAGGCGCCACACAGACACTCAGTGTGCAGCAGGCTAGTGCGAGGTAAATTTACACCCCAGTTTGCCACAAACTAAGTGTGTGAAGAGAGAAACCCTGAGAGTGGATGAGGCATCCAGGGAGGGAAACTGGGGCTTGAGGCAGACAGGACAACTCAAGGCAAGGGTAAGAGTGAGAAACAGACCAGCTGAGGATCCCAGAGGGGAGGGGCAGCACTGAGAATAGTGGGGAAATTGGGACTTGGCTGGGGAAGCCAGAGGTGAAGTCCAGGACTGGCTTGGCAAGGAGACTGGGACTGGGGATGAGAAGCTTAAGGAGTGGAGATTGGAACTGGATAGATAAAATGGAGATAATAACAAGTCCCTACCTCGCAGGTATTGTCAGTTGTTGGCTGTGTGTGTTTTCTCTCTGTGTGTGTTTTCAGCTCTGCGCAGATAGCTGATGCAGCAGGTCTCGATCAAATACCCAAGAAGACCACAGACTCGGTTCAGTGGCGAAGGCGCTTGTTCAGGTTTATTGCTGACAAAGCACAGTACTAGCTCCCCGGATCAATGTCTACAGTTACACGGGCACCTCTATGCCCCTTACAATGGACTTGGCTCAGTGAGTGGTGAGACTTTCCACTCCCCCAGCCCCCGAGGCCAGAAAAAGGCACCCCGACACCCTTCTCCCCATGACCTGTCTTTTATACTGTGATAAAATCAAGTTACCCTCTGCCGTGGCTAGTTACCACCTTGTCCATGTTGGTTTGATCAAAACATGTCTATCCATCATCCTGTCATCCTGACCTTATTTTTAGGAGAGAGTAATTTTTTTTTCCTTTCATCATCTTTGGGGAGTACGTTTATACCATAACCCTGTATCAGGGTGTTCTGGTACCATACTTCTGAAATGTGTTTATGCACATGCCAGTGCCTAGCACTTCTCATGAGTGTTTGTGTTTTTGCAACACCAATCATGCTTTTGCCAGGTTCATGTTCTGGACAATGAACCTGCAAGCATAGTCACAAAAGGGACTAATGAAGGTTTCACAGGCAAGTACAAGTCTGGCATTCTGAACGTTTGAGTGCTTCACTTTGCAAACTTTAACTTTCTTTTTGATTCATAGCTGTATAGATTTTAAGGCCAGAAGAGAGCATTAGATTTAGTCCTACATCCTGGGTAAGAAAAACTATAGAATTTAAACCAATTACTCCTGTACTTCATCTGCACTTGTGTTTGGCTAAAGCATACCTTCCTGAAAGGCATCCAATTTTGTTCTGAATACTTCAGGAGGTAGAGAATCTTCTGCTTCCCTCGGTAGTCTGTTCCAATGCTTCATCAGTATTGCTGTGAAAAACCTATGCCTTACCTCTGATAGGAATTTATCTGGCTTTAACATTCATCCATTGGTTCTTGTTATGCCTTTCCCCACTAGATTAAGAAGGCCTTTATCATCCATTGTTTTGTCCATGTGAAAGTATCGACACACTGAAATCAAGACACATCTAGGTCATCTTTTTGATCAGCTAAACAGACTGACCTCCTTAAATTTCTCACTGTAGGGCACATTTTCAAGCCCTGGAATTTTTTAACATCCTTCTTACAATGTAGACACTAAAAGCAGATGTAGTATCTGTCTCCCCAGTGCTGTACATAGAGGAAAAATCACCTCCCTACTCGAGCTGGTTGGAAATTATTTGGCAAACCAGAGTTTCATTGGAAAATGCCAGTTTGTTGAACTTAAAATTTATCAAGAAAATGAATCCCAATAAATAATCTGTATAAAAGTCGCAACGCATGTTTGGT